CAGGCTCCGAGCTGTCGGCATGGAGACCAACGTGGGGCTCGAACTCACGGACCGCGAGATCATGACCTGAGCTGAAGTCGGCTGCTTAACCGATGGAGCCACCCAGGCGCCCCCCCCAAAAAAGAAAACTTTTCAATGAAATTCATAACATCCGGGATTTGCTTCCATCTCCCGTGTGTCAGAGGAGTCTTGTGTGTGTCTTGTATACATGTATGTGTTACACGTGCAGAGCTGTGTACGTATGTGTGTATATGTCGTGTATGCGTGTCTGTGCGTGTTGTGTGCGTGTACATTATATGCGTGTGTTATCATAGGCGCGTGTACCTTGTATACATGTCCTAGGCACACGCGCACTATGTGTGTGCTACGTATGTGAATGTACTGTATACGTGTGTTACGTGTGCCTGTGTGTATTATACGTGTGCACGTTGTATATCTGTCATATGCGTGTTCTATGTATTGTGTATATATCATGTGTATCGTGCACACATCATCGGGTGTTACGTGTGCATGCACGTATACGTGTGTGTTGCACGCGTGGACATGTGCACGTGTTACATGTGTGCGTGCGTGCGTGTGGAGTGCGTGGAGGTGAGCTCAAGTGGGTGTGCCCTGTTTTGACGATTGTTGAAGATGTGTGATGGGATTTTGGTGGTCGTCTGTCACTTCCTCTGCTACCCTACGGACTTGAGGGTTTCCACACGACGTGAAAAGGGGACGTGAAAAGGGGCGATGGTAGGAAGGGAGGGGCTCACCTCTGCACACCTTTCTGAGTTGGGGGGTGGGGTGCCTCGCCCCAAGGTGTGGCTCCCTACGGACCTGGTGGCCCTTGCTCCCCAGGGTGTGGCTCCCCACGAACCCGGTAGGCCCCCCTGTCTGCCTGGAGGCCCCCTCCCTGGATCCGGGGGCCTGTTCCTGCACACCCTCCGTGTGGCTTGCTCTTGTCTGAGTGCCAGGCAGCTTGCTGTCCTGTTTTCCAGAGACCTGTGGAGGCATGCCCCGTGGTCCTCACCGTGCGGACTCACCTCCACTCAGGCTTTAATGTTACCATCATTTAGGGGAGGGGGGAGGGAGGATGCGTACCACCCATCTGCTAACCCTTTCTTTTGGAGGTTCTGTAAAGATACTTTATTTTTTTATTTATTTTTTATTTTATTTTTATTTTTGTTTTTAACGTTTATTTTTGAGACAGAGAAAGACAGAGCATGAACGGGGGAGGGGCAGAGAGAGGGAGACACAGAATCGGAAGCAGGCTCCAGGCTCTGAGCTGTCAGCACAGAGCCCGACGCGGGGCTCGAACTCACGGACCGCGGGATCGTGACCTGAGCCGAAGTCGGCCGCTTAACCGACGGAGCCACCCAGGCGCCCCTAAAGATACTTTTAAATAGCTGCGTGAAGTCGCTTTCAACAGTCCTTGATGGAGGCACAGAGAGGTGAAGGGATTCACTCAGGATCGCACAGTGCACTCGGGAAGGAGCCTTCCCAGCTCAGTGTCCTGCCCACTGGGCACACGTACCTTCCAGGCTCTCCTGACTGCTGGTGCTCTGGCCGCCCGTTCGTCTTCTCTCTGTCTCGTTCCTTCCTCCCTGCAAGGGGCAGGATTGCACCTGCGGGGAGCCGGGGCCTCTGCTTCTGCTCTGAGCTCAGGGTGCAGCAGGTCTTGGGGCACAGGGGGCAGCTCGTGCGTGGGGAGCTACGGTGCCTTTAAAGGCCTTGAAATTCCCCGCAAGGAGGCTGGTTTGTGGGCCTCACCGGAGGGGAAGTAAGGGAGCAGCCGCAGGCCCGCGCACACTGGTCTTGGGCCCAGGCGGTGGCCGCAGGCGGGCGTGTCCTGTGGTCCACGCCACCAGCGTCCCCCACCCGGGGCACAAGTGCCACGTAACGTCCCACAAAGCTGACGTGCGCCGTGTCGAACTTTCGCTTGGCTCTGTATTCTTTGCTTGTTTTTAGTGGAAGAAATAAACTTGTTTGAGGGAAAAGCAAAACCCCGACAACAGCACCTGGCATGCGACAGGCGGCCTTCCTATGAGGAATAATGGCAGAACTGTGTTGGTTTTGGGTGGACGACAGCTTCTTGACTTTCTTTTTGTTGTGGGTTCCCAGTCGGAATACCACACCTCCCATTTGAACTTCAGAGTCCCGTCTGGGGTCTTTTAAAACGTCGTCTTTAGAAAGTACAAGCCCTCTGGGGGAAGAACGCCTCCAGAAGTCATTTACACTGTAGTATGAATTAGGATAGTTTCAGGGTTCTCTCAGGGTTCACGGTCTGCCTGGGAAGCAGGGAGGGGTGCTTTGGAACGTGGGGCAGCGGGAACCCCTGAGGAACCGTGGGTGGGACTCAGTTTCCTTCCTAACTTCATGTTTTTGCTGGGTCGCTGCCTGGTAAAGTCGGATTCATTGTTGTGCTGGGTTGACCCGGGAGGTTGCTGGGTGTGGGTGTTCTGGGGAAGGTGGCCCTCCCCGATGAGGGGACGGAGGCCTTGTCCTAGGTAGGTGGGGAGACAGGTGAGGGCCTGCTTGCCTTGGATCCCCACCTCACTCTGTGCTGCCCCACCGGTCTTGAGACGGATTTTGGGATGTGGGGATGTGGTGGCTGGAGCGTCAGGTGTGGGGGCCTGCTTGTCAGTGTGCAGTGTGTGTTCCTTTACACTTTTGGAATTCTGTGCCCTCTGCACGCACTCACAATTTGTAAACCATTTATTTTTTTTTTTT